TCCTTTATCTTTGCTCTTTGTTATTAGTAAATATCAGAAAGAAATGTCGATACAACATATTTTGTTTATACACTGATGTCAGAACAACAACTTCACAACCAGGGAAATGGGACCTGGTTGATCTCAGTTCAGTGGCCACACCTTCTGGAGGCTGTCCCATTCAAAGATTCCTTCATATGCAGCAGAGAAATGAGTCTTTGCGTTCCGAAGCAGAAAAGTAAATTGTTGGATCTGCTCAGGCCTGTCAATCTCAGGATCGGATGGAGGATGGATCACTTTTCAAAAAGAGAATATGGCAGCAAGCACAGTGACAAAACAGAGTCAGGAGAACATTTAAATGTAAATATTAGGTTTCATACAGTACAAATGTTAAAAAACCAAGGGGCTGTACAACCTCAGTGTTGTGTTATTAACAGGATAAGTTACATTTCATTGGTGAACTTGCACGGCTTAATAGGCGGCTGACTGAGCTGCACTAAGTGCAGCAGACCAAAGGGCGACATAAAGCTTGTGATGGGAAATAGTAAATCCTCCATTGAGCCGACTGATTTCATTCAGTTCAACCTTCACGTGTTTGCATCGACAGAAGGATTCCTGCTCATTCCTCTGAAAGATGCAGCACCTCAGCTGGGACACTAAAAAATACAATTATAAGTTTTAGGAGGCAAAACAATAAATGATGTTTAATACCATGACTTTAAAAAGGTAGGAGCAGCACTACTTTATATATTCATTGACTGTAAATTTATTTTATTTTATTTGGCGCCTTTCTAGTCTAATTGACCTCATACAATGCTACTGCAGCGTTTTCTTTATCACACATCATTCATAAACTGTTTGCAATTCAGGGTTAAGTGTCTTGGAAGGCAGATTGAAGAGCTGGGGATTGAATTACTGACTTTCTGATTAGTGGATGACCCACTCTTCCCCCTAAGCCACAGCTGCATAGTTTCATATATATGCATGGAGAGATACTGTGTTGCACAATGTCTACTACTGGAGCCCACAGTGACCTCAGTAGAAATCTGTTAAACCTGCAGGTCACAGCAGAAACCAGGAAGAGATCCCAGACATGAAATATTCATTCAGCACACAACAGTCAGGCCGTTGATCAGAGCAGCTCCGTCACTCAGAGACTGGATTCTTCTGAAAGAGCAGCTGATGCTGGACAGTCCTGCATATGGATGAGAGGGATGTTAGACCAAGTCAAACATGAGTCCTCACATTCAATCCCATTCACACAATTCAACAATGAGTGTGTTTCACCACTGCACATTCCACACATGCAGAATGTTTCTATTTTACATTGGACAATAAGTTGTGTTGAATATTCAGATTTTTTTTGTAACTGAGGCAAAAACGATGAGGACCAGTGAACTCTGAGCTTGGACAACGCCACCTGGGGGTGAAATTCCCCAGTAAGATTTATAATAGATTTGAGTTCCCCACAGATAATAGCAATGAAATTTTGACTTAAGGCAGGTCATTTCTTACACATTAGTTATGTCAAGAGTAAGTGCACTGTGCAGCACAATAAATGCATCACCAGGCCTAAAAAAAAATGCCGTAGTAGATTTGGTCATGTGATAAAGCACTTTAGAATTAATCTGAGCTGTAAGGGGTTACCTGAGTGCCACCAGGAATGCACACACACACACACAGACACACCACACACTCGTGACAGGGTTTGAAGTCCACACAGAAATCACATCACGTCACATGTAGTGCAAGGGAGAGGGCCACTTATATTACACTGCCCCATTAGACTGGCAGAGGACACTCGGAAAATCCAACAAATATAAAATGTAAATTTTTTTTTTTAGTGTTAGCAAAAGTAGTGCCCACAAAGAGAAAGGGAACTGGCACACCACATGAATCATTTGTCATGCTTAAAGTTGGAACTGCGACTTTAAGAAATGTTTGTTTAGCCTCACAACAAGAAGGTTATTTGTTTGAATCCCAGTTCGACCAGAGCCTATTTGTTTGGAGACATCTGTTTGTCTCTATATGTTGGCCCTGTGATACGACCTGTCAGAGTTTATCCTTTAGCAGGATTACATAAAAACTACTGGACGGATTACCACAACACTTGGTGGAAGAAGACAGTATGGGTCAGGAAGACTACATCTTAATGTGGATCCAGATCAAGGGGCAGATCCAGATTATTATGTCTTTTTAACTTTCTTTAACAACAAGAATAATTCATGGATCTTGATGAAAAAAGAAATACTATAGAATTACATAGAATTATTGATAATGCCCATGATTGTTTTGTGATAAAAGAAAACTTAAAAGTAAGCTCAGGCTTCACTTCATAAAGAACAAAGGTGGTTGTCCCAAAGTGATGCAGTGATGGAATCCCCTCTCAATGCAATGCAATTAACCCTCGCTTAGTGTGTGTGTGTTTGTGTGAGTGTGTGTGTGTGAGTTTGCTGCACCTGCTTCTCTCCAGTTGGAGCCACATGTGTTTGTTATATCACTGCTCATTGTGGAGAAAGTTTCTGACACTTCCCGTCCTCTGACTGTGTTCTGCACTGGGAAGACAGTTTTGTGTTGTGTTATGTCGACTGTCATGATTTAATATGAAAGAAAATCTAACCCAGTTGATTCACTCAGGACTCAAGAGGACAGAAGTGAGAGAGGGAATTGGTTGTTTATTTTGTGACGTGTCTGTTGAGAACGTGACATCACAAAGCCAGTGAGGCTGAAGTGTGTAAAAGATACAGAGCTCTGGCTCCCTCTGTAGGACAGTAACATGAAGTACAACACAGACAGTTCATTTTGACATCAAACCAATACATAATTCCTTTTTCTTTTGTTATATTGTTTGACATAGATAATTAACTTTCAACAGAATTAATTTTTCTTTTTTAAAAATACTTCCAAAGATTATTAAAGATCAAGATTCTAACATAAGGCTAAATATTATTACATGAATAATTATCTATAGTTCAGTTTTTTGAATTTATTTGAATTTATTTTGAGAAATTGTGATAAGGCAGGTGTGTGTCCCATCTGTGAAGCTGTGAGTTGATAAACTCTCTATGATTTTTGTGAATCCTCACAAATGAATATGCTAACTTGGCAGCTTTTATTTCCACAAAAATGTTAAATGTTTAGGTTTAATGCAGTCAAGCAATATTTAAGTGGGATGGTAAACACTTCTAATTCACTTCCCTGCATGATGATAGTGAGAATAAACGTATCAGTGAAAATTACCTGGTACTCGTCATGGCTTCCATTATGTTATTAAACAGCAATTATTTACTGAACAGTAACTAGTCAGTGCTCGCCAACAAATCGAATGAGTTTGGACAACCTAGACTACGGTGCTGCCCCTGTGTATATAAGGTTGGACAAGGCCGGCACAATTCTCTGTGTGTCTCATTAAATTGAGTGATGAGTGATCATCTTGCATGTAAATATAGCCGATATCACAGAACAGCTGTTGTCATTATATAAAATCTGATTATAGAGAGAGAGAGAGAATGTGTGTGTGTGTGTGTGTGTGTCACAAACAGCAGGGGACAGACAACGATGCAGCTAGTCTATTCTTCTTTTAGTCTTTGTAATACCAGGTTTTTGTATCCATCCTATCATAAAGTCATTTGTTTTATTCATTCTTTTTCAGCCAGTCTTTTGCTGCGTGTTTATGGTGCAAGCTAACGTGTGTTCGGACAATATGTCATTCAGCACTGCCAGATACTTGTGATTCGTGTTAATGTTACTTCACTAATACTCAGGAGTATCTTTGTTTCTTTCTGCCCATTCAGTTGAAATATTATGTTGTTCTCTGTTTACAAATCAGTACTATTTTATTACCCAGCATGCAGCAGAGCCTGAAGCAGGATGTTGTTTTCACATGCATGTGTTTGTGTGTGTTGATATCTCCACAAATATCAGAGACAATCTAAAATTGATGATCAGAAAATGATCAACCATCATATGATGTCATATGAATCTAAGATGAACCATGTGCTTTCATGGGGATTGCATCTGCATTTTAATGGCCATGAAACTCCACTGTAATGTGGATGGCTTGTGTGAATAAAGTGGCAGAGAGAATTTAATATTAAAACATAATCGTGTGGATGACATAAGATTGCAGATGGATCTCTGAATAGGGATTTCAAGGGGTTTGGTACAGAGAAGGTTAATGAATATATACTCTGTTTATTTGAGGTTTAATTTGTTTGTCTTAATAATTGTTGTGTTATTGTATATATGTGCTTTCTCTACCTTGCCTGACTTGAAGAAGGACCACAATGGAAATACAGCAAGCTCTCAGTTGTATTGTGTTTTATTCTCAACAGTTTAATGCATTCAGCAACTGCATGGCTGCAGTCTGATAAAATGACTATATTTTAAACACTTTGGCTACATGAACTAAACAGTGTCCACAAGCTCACACAAGATTTTGATCATGATCACTCTTCTTAGTTTTGCATATCTATATGCTAACATCTCTTAATAAGCACGAAACACAAACACAAAGTACATAGCTGAAGCTGATGGGAAAAAAACCCTTAATGAATAAAAATATTACAATTGGTCCTAAACGGGACATTTTCATGGCATTGACTTCAATAGCCATAGAGACATTTCAATCAAACGTATCAATCTCATGGTGGCACAAGACAGATGATACCAAAATCATCAGAGATCATCTTCTGGAAATCATGAATAGAAAATATGAAGATCGAGCTGGTACTCATTCCTCAGGTTCATATTTTTATTGCAAATGTGTTAAATGTAAATTTGCAGATTAGTTTTATTTGAAAAGGGAAGTCATGTCAAAGTGTTGGTTTCATTCCAGGTTGTAGGGTGTAAAGTTCAAACACCAGACATTAGCAGTCACATTTTCATGGTGTGTTAGTTAATTAGTTCAGTTCAGTTTAAAAGTCCCGCAGGAAATTCAGTTTCATCTTTGAACAATAACAACAATAACAAATAAAGACGTCTCATGAACAATACACATTTCTGGACAGTAAGGAGCCGGGTTACTCGCTAATCTCATTACCAACAGATTTTTGTCTCCGGGTGCTGAGCGAGACAGAAACATGAGGCTAAACTGAATTCAAAACATTTTAAACACTGGTAAAAAAAAGTCACAAATAACAAACAACAAACAACACGCTGAAATAACAGTGTGATGATACGATCATCATGGACTATTCACATCACAACACCCTTCAGAAAGAGTAAAATCATAACCAGCAGGAGGGGGCGGGGCCTGTCAGCGCCTCGATTGCCCCTGGTGAAGACAGCCTCTTGGATGACATTGACCATCATAACCGATCTGCACGGCTCCTCGCTGTAGCACATGCAGTCAAAGCTGCGGTTAAACCAGTTGACGTCGTCCTGCGAGAGGCCACCGCTCACAGTGAGCGGGCCAGTGCGATGCCGCTGCTGGATACTGTAACGGCGCGGGTCAAGGTGGAGGTAGACATCGTCGTCCCAGCGCTTCCTCACACAGCGACCTTGGCCCTGGCAGAGCGCCATGCTGCAGAGCTGTGTTGCCGTCGAGACATTCAGGATGTACGGGTTCATGACCTGCTCCAGGTGGCGTCGAGCGTCAAAGCAGGAGTCCTAAAAAAAAGTGGGATGTTGGGCCATTTAGTGATTGTTAGTTTAAGTTTCAAACCTTTCCGGAAAAATACTAAACTACCACCACTTTCTACCTCTGTATCTGTGACGTTCATGTCTCCCCAGGAAATAACGCCAGCGGCACCGAGAGCGGCAGCTTCTCCGATGGTGTTGACCAGATCAAACTGCAAAAAACAAAGACAATCAAGCAGAGAAGTACAGGAAATGACCATATGAGTCATATTGATTACTAAAATGCAAAACTCACCATTGAAGTTTGATACTAAAATATGAAAAAAGCCATTTAAACCAATAGATTGAAATAGATGGTAGGAATACTGTGACCCAAGGTCATTATATACAAACATGATTTCATGTGTCAAAGGAGAGTGGCTCTCGAAAGAGCACATACCTCCACCAAGGCCCAATAGTCCCCTTAAAATTAATCAAGCTGCACTAAAAATATTCCACACTCAGTGATATCAGTCCCCTAAAAATATCAAATTTCAATGGATTCTTTCTTGGTCCATATTTCATCCATCCACGATGTTTTGTGGAAATCCATTCAGTAGTTTTTGTATAATCCTCCTGACAAACAACCAAACAGACACATGGACAGGGATGAAAACACATCCTCATTGGCTGAGATAACAACTGGAAACCCATTAAAACTACTTTTGGAAAAACGTTTAAATGCAAGTGCATAAAAACGCGTTGATGAATTGTCCTGATATAAAACAATATTAGGCGGCAGGGCAGAAAAAAATGACACAATGTGAGGTGTGAAGAATTATCAGACCTATTCCAATGAAACAAGGAACAAAGATCAAGCATGTGTAAATCCTCTGTATTTGAAAGTGTGTATGTGATCAGTTTCTCCTGACGTCAGGTGAGTTTGTCAGTCTAATAGAGCCTGATGCATATTTTTATAGTTTGCGTAGAGTGCTGTTTAATGTACATTGAGCTTTAGATATGGCTAATCAGAGCCAATCCAAAATATCAGATTATCTTCTGTGGAATGAAGACACAGTAACATACATTGTGCCTAAAGGTGTCAAAACCTGTGTAGCCAAGTGTGTCTGACCTCTGACATGTAGTCATCAGTGCTGTCCTTGTACACAGGGCGGATGTAGGCATATACAGGGATGGAGTACGAACTGTTGGGGAGTGTTGACACTCTAATGGCTTCATGGATTCGATGGCGGACAAACAGCCGAGCCTGCTGGGTATCTCTCAGCACCAGCTCCAGATAGATGGATGGAAAGAGCGCTGTGGAATCTTTCCACAGCCACACCAGCTCATTGTTCCTGTCCTTCTCGATGGCGGGGCACTCTCCAGTGAAGCCCGCCATGTCCTGGTTGTAGTCGTAGTTGTAGCAGTCAGGGTACAAGTAGTAACCCCAGAGTCTGTTGGGCCTCAGCCTCTTCCCAATGCGGATGGAGCGGAGGAAATACCTCTTTGCTGCACGCTCAAACACAATCTTCGCCCGATCCTCCGCCTCATCGTCAGACAGTGACGCATTTTTTTTCTTGACTGTTTCGATGGAAATCTCTCTGTAGATGTCTTTACTGCCCCAGTTTCTAGCCCACTGTGGCCTCCACTCCTCAAAGTCAAGCACAGCAAGACCTGGCTGGTTAGAAGGAATATAGTACTCAATGTCGTCCTCAGCCAGCTCATGGTGCTCCTGCATGTCTATCAGCTGTGGTAGACCCTCATCGTACATCTTACCAGTGTCTTCGTCCACGTAAGGGAAGAGGCCGAAGCGGTCAGTGTAGAATATGGAGATGCTCTGGCCGGTTGCTGTTTTCAGCGTGCTGCTGACAATGTGGAAGTAGGAGAGGTCGAGGGGCATGCCAAAGCGAATGTCACACAGCTCAGTTGGGGCATTCCACATGAAAAGGAAGGGTTGATCAGCAGAGACTGGAGGGTCCGTCCTTGTTGAGGCCTGGCCCGAGCTCAGCAGAGCCAGCATGGTGATGAAGATGAAGAAATGTCCATTGTCATGATGCAGTTTGACTTGATTCATTTTCAATCTAGAATCTTTTCTGTGAGGAGAAGGAAACACAAACATCAGTCAGAAATACTAGGAGGAGTTTGTGCTGCTCTTCAAGAAATGAATCTGGGATATGAATAGACCATGTCCTTATTTCTGAGTTTGAGATGAGTATTGTTTTTGTCCGTCAAAGGTCTTCATAGATACTAAAGAAAATTAAAATGTTTCACCAGTGGAAATATAAAAATATTTATCTGACACACAAAATCCAAGTTAGCGTGAGAACAGTTTCCCTCTTCATCCATAATACATTAAGCATTACACATTAGCATTGTGTGGTTATTACCATGCAACCTAATAGAGCAGCAAGCATGGCTGTCAGTATTGTTTCTGCAATTAAACTAAAGAATCAGTTTTAAATGTGCAGATTGGGTTGGAGGGCTAATAATGTAGTGAGAGAGGTGGTTACCTGGATGAGTGAGAAAAGGTTTTAGCAAAGAAGGAATGCAGCAGTCTCCCTCAAACAAATCTCACTATTTGCTACATAAATCATTTAATAACGTGTTTATTTCTAGTGAATGATATTTACAGAATTCTCAGGGCTCCATTTTTCTTTAATTTTTAAATTTCCTACATTATCAACAGTATGGCATACTTATTCAGCCAACAGTTAATTCTTAGTGTTGCCAATATCTTTTTTCCAGCTGAGCAGATCCAAGGCATCAGTTCAAGTTAAAACATGGAGTTGGACAATTTTTCGTGACAGCACTGATACGGCACTAAATCTCCTGACTTGGGAACGATTTATGTGTTTTTAATATCCTGAAGTCAAAAAGCTGACTTCAGAGATGAAATATGACAGTAGGTCTGTTGTTCTCAGTTGAAGGCATGCAACAAACCAGCAACAAACTAAGATGTTAAAATTCTCCTCAAATGGTCAAAGAGCGAGATGTCAGTGGCTGAGGATGTGGACATGATGAGCACTTTGCCTCCTGAGGGCAAAGGCAATACATTTATCCTGAATGAACAAAGTCAACTCCTGTTGTTTGAAAATGTGAAGAAATGCAAACAGAGTTATAGCGTAATCGATAACTATTTAATTCAAAAAGAATATGTATTTTATGATAGAAAATGAGAGCCAAAGATGTTAAATCTGGGCATCTCAGCATAAAATCAGGCAGAAAGTCTCAAGTCATTTCACCAGTATGAATGAGTTGGTCCAATTTTACTACCTAAGATCAGCGTCTGCATCAGCCGCCATCGGCTCTTCTCTGTTACTTGAGCTGGGATTTGAAAAAACACGGAGCGAATTGAAACCGGACACAGTTGCTGCAGATACACTCAGTTCTAATTATAGTGTGATGTCCACAGTCCCACACTTCCATATCTTTAGCCTCTTGGACAACTATCATGAGCACATCGGCATTTTACAAGCTCTAATCTGTTCAGCTGTCTTTACTGACTCTATTTATTACATTTTTCATTCACATGCCCTGCTGCCCTACAAGCCGTACATGGACTTACAGTATAAGGCAGTGCAGGACTGTATAAGAAAGTGTAAGGACGGTGATCACTGTTCACGGCATTGACAGACTATTTTACACACTGTACATAGTGTTAACATTAATGTCTTTATGAGTTCAAAAGATCTTAGGTGGAGCTACAGTATCTTTGTCTCCAGGCAGGTTACAAGCAACCACTCAGTCTGACGGTTTTATGATTTCTGTCATTTCAGACTTAGTGAATGAAGTTCACTCTCGTCAAGTTAAATTTGAGGGGGAACTGTACCGCTGCAGCTAAACTCTACACCTGTAACTTTCTCCAGTTAAACTCTCGGAAAACACCCATTAACCCTTTGAACCCATATCAAAGTAGACATCATTAACTGAGCACCAACCTGCTTTGGGGTCCAACCTCCCGCTGTTGAAACTGCATACACAGTGAGTCCTGGTATTACCTGTTACACATAAACACGACACTCCTTTGGGAGTCTAAATAGTTCCTCGTTAAATACGCTGTGACATTACAGGCAGGACACTTGTGGAAACTTGTCAGAGCTGAGAGATCTGCAGCCCTGAGGTGTTCTGGGTTTTATTGCAACGTCCTGATGCTTTTCAGGCTGTGACCCAGCTCCCTCCTTCCTGCCCAGAGGAGGATAACGGCGGAATCTCCAGGACGAGGACAATGTGTGGATCCACTGCCACTCATGCTTGAGGCATCTGTCCGAACACGCAAGGAATGCAGTGAGAGTTTGAACTTGGTCAGCTGTGGGCTGGAAATGCACTGAGCTGAAGGAAATCCACCTGGATTCATCACCAGAATAATGAATCACGCAAAGTGGAAGTCTGACCGGCTCCATCCAGTTCAAACTCAACTCTACTAAATCAACTGGTTATCAGATGAAGTTCATCAAGAAGGATCGAACAAAACTAAGAGGTCGACCTCTGATGTCACAATAAATTATGAGCTAGTCTTTGTAAGGAAGCATTCTTTTTTGGTAAGATTGTTTAAATGCGTAGCAAACACATAAAATCCATATGAAACTAGTGTGATCTTTGGTTGAGTGTTTATGTACAGAGTCCCTGTCTTACTCCTTTGTTATTGTGTGTGTGTGTGTGTGTGTGTGTGTGTGTGTGTGTGTGTGTGTGATTCCATTCCAAGTACTGTCATTTAAATATGATACAGGGTATTCATTAAAGCTTGCACATGTGCCATTTTTCCTGGCTTAATCATTTATATGTTTGTTGCACAATAGCACAAAGCCCAATTATGAAATATGTTAAACTTTGACCCCAAGTTGCATTGACATTTTGGCCCCTTGAACTCCTGAGGGGCTGGCTGACTTTTCCCAGGTCAAGGTACAGTGCTGCTGTGCAGGTCTTTTTCCTTTGCCAAGGACAGGGTCGTCCTAGTTTTAGAGTTGTTTGTTTGTTTTTGGCTTAAGAAAATGCTCAAACTGGACGGATTGCAGTAGCTGAGATCTGATTAAAATGTGAGCCATGTCCACATGTGGCTTGGCTGATCCTCCAAAAGTATTCTGCACGCATTGGACATGGCTGAAAGCTACTTGTGCTGTAGAGACTTTCTCCAAATAATAATGTTTATATTAAACTAAACTGCAACAGAAAATATGTTTCATAGGAAATATAAGCAATGGCTTTGTTCTCATAAGTGCAAATTAACCATAAGAAGAAGTTTGGATGTGTTGTCTGTATTAAGACAACAACAGTCCTGCAGGTAAAGATGGGTAAACAACCAGACTAGGATCTTACTCCAACCTTAACCAAGTGCGACACAAGTCTAAACATGACCATAAAACAGTGAGTCACCACAAGTTAATACTGAAAGATCAGGAAACTAATAGGTTGGCTGTGAATAATTTATTGGTGCATTCAGTATCTTAGTATTTGGGGTTTACCAAATATGTTATTACATAATAAAAAAACATATTCCAGCCGCAATCACATAATTAGCATCTGTTTGCTTCTGCGGTTATGTCGCAGAC